CGAGCAAATAAAGATTCAGGATGTTTAAGAATTCGCCATGCTTGTTTTGCAAGTAAAGCATCATTAAATTTTTCTAAATCCTTAAATCCCAAACCCCCATCTTTTTTAGAGTACTGCAAACGCTTCCAAGCTATCCAAGGGATACTACGGTTCTGATTTCCTTTTTCCCACAAGAATTTTTGAAGAACCGATTCTAATTCCGAAATGATACCCAAAGGAAGTTTAAAACAAGACATCGAGTAGACTGGCATGGACATTGCAACAGATTTCAACATAATTTCTTTGCCAGCCGGAGATAAAAAATTCGCACTCCAAGAAGAAGTACGTTGTTTAACACGGTCTATGATGTAATTAAACATTTCTTTCTTCTTTTTTCCAAATTGCTCAGGAAGGCCTAAGTATTTTCCCCCACCCCCATGGTTTGGAATATTTAAAATATTTTTTAATCTATTTTGAGTGCGACCCTCTACTCTTGATCCAAAGGTTATTAAAGATTTATTCATGTTAATTTTTTGCCCTGAATAATATTCATAAACTTGAAAAACCTCTTTTAAGGCTTGACAGTTCCTGACATTTGCTTGACAAAAGAATAGAGAGTCATCAGCAAATTGGAGGTGGGTTATAGCTGGGACGCCATTTCCTATACGAACACCTCTTATATCACCATCTTTAACCCTATTTTTTATTAGATGACTTAGAATATCCGCACATAGAATAAAAAGATATGGAGATAAAGGATCTCCTTGACGAATTCCTCTCTCAGGAACAACTAATCCATGAGGGGAACCATTAATCAAAACTGAGTATTGAACCGATCTAACTGTAGCCATAATCCAATTTATCCAAACTTCAGAGAATCCAAATAATTTCATTGCAACTTCCAAAAAATCCCATTCCACTCTATCATAAGCTTTAGTAACATCCGTTTTAATGGCCATATAATTTTTTGAGACCCTTTTTCTTACTTTCAGAGAATGCATCACTTCATGAGCAATCAAAACATTGTCATTAATATAACGACCAGGAATGAAAGCAGCCTGAGTATCCGAGACTATATTGTTTAAGTGTTTTTTCAAACGGTTAACTAAGCATTTTGAAATAATTTTATAAAGAACATTGCATAAAGCAATAGGTCTATAATCAGATAGAGTGGAAGGTGATTCGATCTTTGGTATCATACAGATATTGGTGAAATTGATACCTGGTTTCATGATGGAAGTTGCAAAGAAATCTTGAACCTCCATAATAACATCTTCCCCAATGATATGCCAGTAATGTTTATAGAACCGTGCTGTTAATCCATCAGGTCCAGGTGCCTTATCATCACCAATAGATGAGATAGCTTCAAAAATTTCCATAGCACTAAATTCCTTAGTCAAGTCGTCGTTCATAGCTGAAGTGACTGTTGTAGCGAAATCTCCAAAGTCAATAGGTGAAACAGGGATGCCACTTGAAGTATAAACACTCGCGAAGTAGTCTTGAGCATGATCTCCAATTTCGGTTTCTCCTTGGTAAATATGTTGTTGATCATCACGAATGAAAGAGATATAGTTGGTAGAATAACGTGTTTTTGTAGAAGCATGAAAAAAAGCAGTGTTCCGATCTCCCAAATTCATCCATGTGTTTCGACTTTTTGTTTTCCAGTAGTATTCTTCATCCCTATATGCCATTTGCAGCTCACGTTGAAGAATAGGAATTTGATCACGACGTGATCTTTCCAAACTCTCCATGGCTTTGTGTAACGCCTCTTGAAAATAATCAATTCTTTTGGCTGCATTAATGTTATAATTTCGTTTTCCTGTAGCCATGGCCAAGCGACAATTTACAATCTGATCAGCAATGGAGTAAAATGGTTTGACTTTGCAATGATTCCATCCGTTTCTAACAATAAAATCAAAATTAGGGATGGAAGTTAAACGTTTGTCAAACCGAAAAGGTTTTGGTCGAGTCATTTCAAATTAGTTTTCTAACTACAATTACAATGTAAAACCTTTACATTGTAAATTGTAAAAAAACTTCATAAATTAATACTGCTAAATTAATAGTATAAAAATTAAGAAAATTTCAGAAAATGATATGGATAATAGTGTTTTTTAAATAACAATTGGAAAAACAACTATTTGTAATTCAAATACGCATATGATTTCTATCAAAAATTGAATGTTCTTTTATATAGAAAAAGACTCAGATCATTTAGATATCATATACAAAAAAAATATGAAATAATCCATATCTTAAAACTACTATATATATCAAAAATTGGTAAATATCAAATCCACTCGTATAATTTTGAATAATGATATTCTCTCAGTCTCATTAGTGTACTTTTAGACTTAAAATGAAAATAAGTGTTTTTTTGTATTTTCAATAAATTTTTGGTAAGATTTCTAATTTTATCCCCTATTATTGTAATATATAAACCACTAAAAATGTATAATGTATTAATAAAGAATATAAAAAAAATCTGTGAAACTACATATTAATCGAAACAGAGTGAGGGGGTATTAGCTTCTTGATTCCGATAACATTATCCTACACTTGTGTTTAGAATTGTCTTGTTCGTATTATATACTAATCAAGTGTATCAACATGCATGCACCAAATCATACAATTTCCAAGTCAACACAAAATTTAATAAGTATTTTACAAACCACTAAAAAACTTATTTGTCTTCAGGCCCTAAACTATTTGAGTGAACACAACAGAGAACATAGTAATGTATTATTATTATTCATTATATAGAATGTTTTGAACTTTGATGCCAAACAATTACTGTTTTGAGATGTTTGTTAAATGAATTGGCAACTTTCTTGGATCAAGCAATAGTAGTTTTTTTCGATCTTCACTATTACAGACACAAAGCTTAGCTAAAAAAAAACTCATCATCCTATTAGCAAATGCTTGCAATAGATAAAAATCCCTACAAGCCCAACCAAATTAGCATACTCTATTCATATATAAGTTCTCCCCTACACATAAAAAGCCATCACATTCATTCTATATTTTAGATACACAATCACATTAATTCTTATATATGGCAAATTATTTTCAATGATGATATAGTCATTACATATTGTTCATGTAACACGATCAAGCATATATATATATTTTTTTGAATCTAATGTTAAAATTATATTCAAAATAAAAATAACGTTTTTACAACAAGTGCAACTTTTTCTTAAACGTTAAAGCCGAAAAACAAGTTTTTAATCAAGCATTTATCATTTAGCACCTGCCTGGTTAAACTTAAGCTGCCTTACATGGAGAAATGCTTGATGCATTGCAATGGAGTAGACCAACGTCGAATGAATTGCTATATCTTACTATGAATCGCATCAGTATCATGCATTAATTCAAGGATCATGGAGGAGGGACTATGATTCGATAGTATGGTATATTAACTTTACGAGAATAGTATCTGATAGTGGTGGACAAACAAAAATAAAAAGCAAAGTAGATATTATTTTGGTTTCTAAAAATAAACATATACTGATTTTGGATTCTGATCTGATTGCACAAATTTCATGATATCAACTTTGAAATTCGCACAATATCATATCTAATAATACTATTATTTCGTACAAAATTCAAAGCTAGCAACTCAACTCTGGCCTTCACATGTCAGCTAGTATATAACTTTTCCAACAATGTTTAATTAATTTAATATCTCAATATACCCACAGCAAAAAAGATTTTTTTAATCCATAAAAAAACACACAAATCTTTCTCTGTGGGCAACATTTCTTGAAAATAAAATTGGAAAATCAAGAAAGTATCGAAAATGTACAAAAGAATGCCCCAATGATCTGAAACAATAATCGAGAGATCGTTTTTGATACGATTTTTTTTTCCCCATCCAAATTTTTTTTTGATTTTATTTCCCTTTCCCAAATAATCATCATCAAATATACGATCACTCACCATTATTTTGACTATTCTCAACAAATTAATTAAAAAAAAAAAAAAACTTTATGACTTTTGAATTAATTATATATGCCAAATTTGAATAGGATGACTTTCTTGGAAAACAGAAATAAACTAATAATTTCCCACGCGCTATCAGACAGACAAAATCCCACAGATATGCAAAGATCTCTTAGAATCCTTTCCATATCATATCCATCATTTTTTTGTTTCCCTCTCCTTTTGCTTCCTTATATATCTCATTTTCTTTTATCTTTCTCTCAATTCATTCATCCATCTCTACTCTCTATGCAATATCAAATCTCCTCTACCTTCTCCTCCTCAAATCTCTCTGCTATCTCTCTCGCTGACATGGCTGAGGTTTTGCGTCCAGAGATGTTGGATATCTCCTCCAATGACAACACTTCTTCATTAGCATCTTCAACTGAGCTTCTTCATGTTCTTGCTGTTGATGATAGCATGGTTGATCGTAAATTCATCGAGCGGTTGCTTAGAGTCTCTTCTTGTAAAGGTAAGCTTTGGATTGTGTTTTGTGTGGAATCTGTTTTCTTGAGGTTTTCAAGAAACTGACGTTTTGTTTTTGTTTTTTTTTGTTGTATCATCAGTTACTGTTGTTGATAGTGCTACAAGAGCTTTACAGTATCTTGGCTTAGATGGAGAGAATAGTTCAGTTGGGTTTGAGGTAATAGATCTGATCATTCTTATTGTTTTTGTTTTTGAGACAATGGATTCAAAATTTGGTATTAAAAGATTTTTTGATTACTTTTTTTTTCAGGATCTTAAGATTAATTTGATAATGACTGATTACTCTATGCCTGGGATGACTGGTTATGAACTACTCAAGAAGATCAAAGTAAGTTTTGTTAAATGATCTTTTGATAATATGGTAAATAAAATGAAGTTTGATCTAATCTTGTTTATGAACTTTTGATTTCTTATAGGAATCATCAGCTTTCAGAGAAATACCAGTGGTGATTATGTCGTCAGAGAACATCTTGCCTCGAATCGATAGGTATATTTTCTTAATAATTATGATTCTTAATTTCTTGTTTAGGTAAATATCATGTAAGATTAACCTTTTTTACCAGATATAGTAAACTTGTTAGATTTTGTGCATTTATTACTTCAGGAGATTCGGATGATTAGATTAGATTAGATTTATAAGATTGTTTAGGAAAGTTTTGAAGTAACCACACTTTATCTAGGATTTGTGAAAAAAGATACCGTTAAAAGCATGATATGGTATTTTGACTTTAAAATTAAATTGTTGTATAATCATCAGATTTGTTTGAAGTTAATATATGATTACTTTAACCATCATGGGGTAACTATGATAGTGGTTGGCATTTTATAATGGAAAACTTAGGAATAATAATAAATAATATGAAATTGTTTCTTCATAAGTTAAGCAAGATCTTCTCATGAGATTTGATTCTATTTAAGCCGGTGACATGTTAGGTCCCCCAAAAATCATTTTGATTGTTTTTGCATAATCTTAGGTAGGGTCATTAATAAAATCTCATCCCTCGTGGTAGACACCTCACATGCTTTTGCTTATTAGGAGTATTAAACAAATTAAAGGAACCTAACCCTCTTTTAACCAAAAATTAAGTCTAATATGAGCTGGCCATCTTCTACTTTATTATGGAACTTGATCACTAATAGTATATTTGTTTGTTTTGATATATTCAGATGTCTTGAAGAAGGGGCTGAAGATTTCTTGTTGAAGCCAGTGAAACTGGCTGATGTGAAGAGATTAAGAGATTCATTAATGAAAGCTGAGGAGAGAGCTTTTAAGAATATGATGCACAAGAGAGATCTAGAAGCTAATGATCTATACTCGCAGCTAAAACGTGCAAAGATCTGATCGAGCTTATCGGATTCAAAGATTCACACACACACTTGATGCTGCTTGTCCTGATTCTTTTGGCTTTTAACAATTTTTGAGACATTACTACAGCTTTCTTTTGGCTGATAGAATGAGGACGACTGATGAAGAGTGACAAAGATGGGTTTATAGAAAATGTAAATTGTAGACTTGGGTTTGGGGAGGGATACATTATTATTATTTTTTTCTTTTACATTGAGATATGTAAAATGGTGTTGTTATTTTTGGAAGTTTATTAGGAAACGACTCTTCTTCTTTTCTCGCCTTCACTTACGTGGAAATTGCGTTGTTCATATATTGACCTTAAAAATAATGATTTAGGAAATGGATTAGTGCCGTCCATTGCACGAAGACATGCTAATCTCTTGTCTAATTAAAAATAAAAGATGTCAACATGAATCGGAGTCCAACGAGATAAGTTAAAGTTATTATAAACGTTGGTCCACTTTGGGTGGCTTTTCTTAGAAATTTCCCCAAGTTGGACTTTTTTAATTAACAAAACCACGAAAACGGTAGTCTCCTAGACTTACTATTTGAGAGCATAGAGGTGGATATGCAATTCGGTTTTAGCAAATTAATCTAAATCCAAAATAGAACCGAACCGAGTTCATGTAAATAATATATCGCTTATATGCAAAAACGGACAAGGGCTCTAAGATTTGTTAAGAGATTCTACCTTAAATCTTCAGCTGAGAGAAATCGAATCGGTACGATATCCGGTTTACTACCTTACTTCCCCAAGTCAAGCTACACAAACTAAAATCCAACCGAACAAATTCCTCAACCACAAAACAAAGAAAAAAAGCAATAAAACAACAAAGTGTTTTCCGACAAAAGTGAATATCACTGAGTTACTACGAAATCCCAACAGATGGTGACGTCTCAAACCAAAAGATGGATCCTAATATTAAAGAAACAAAGACTCCGAAGTCAAGCTCAAGATAATTTCCAAGCAAGAACTTCATCAGAATATATAAGATAAAACAAACAGAGTAAAAAACTTTTCCGACAAAATGTGAATGTTTATATGTCTTTACGAAAGTTTCTACGAAAACTCCAGTCATGTCGGATGTACAACAAAGCCATTAAACCGACACGTGGACGGCTAAGATTCGTGGCTTTCCTAATGGGTCTCCAATAGTGATAAGAGTCAACTTGATTTGAAATCCGCTCAGGGTATTTTGGGTAACTCCCGTCCCGTCTATTAAATTAACAGAGGAAGGAGAAGGACTAAACTAAAGAAGCAAGACGACTCAAAAAAGAAAGTCCACACAAGAAAGAGAGATTAGATCAAATGGCGTTTGAAGCTCTTACCGGAATCAATGGTGATCATATCACCAATTCATGGATAGCTTCCAAGAGAGCTTACCAAACCGAGCCCTTTATCAGATACGAAGCAGGGGGAACCGTGTATTTCTCCTTCCGACCATCTTTCACGGCGGAAGCTTATTTCGCTACGGGTAATAAATCTCCCTTTGGAGAAATTAAGATGAATCGTGTTGAGTTTCCTTGTATGAGAAGCATCGGCAACGACGTTGACGCTACTGTCAACGAAGCTTTCCTCAAGAATCTTCAAGTTCTCATTGCTCCAACAACCTCATTTCATGATTCTGTAAGTAACCAAAAAAAAACAGCTTCTTAAATATTACAAGAATCTGTGTCTGAAACTTGCTTTTTTTAGGTGAAAAGCGCGGTTGATAGAAGACAGCAGATTGTGTTCACAGGACATTCTTTAGGAGGAGCAACTGCGATTTTAGCAACAGTTTGGTATTTGGAGAAATACTTAATACGCAGTCCGAATGATGTCCCTGAGCCTCGTTGTGTGACATTTGGAGCTCCTTTGGTTGGTGACTATATCTTCAAGCACGCACTTGGGAGAGAGGACTGGAGCCGTTTCTTTGTGAACTTTGTCACAAGATTCGATATTGTCCCTCGGATAATGCTATCTCGGAAGGCATCAATAGAGCAAACCATGCCTTATGTTCTTGAGCAACTGGATCCTACAAGAGTTTCCACCCAAGAGAGCAACGAGAGAACAATAGCAGAGTTTTATAAAAAGGTGATGAAAGACACATCAACTGTTGCTTTACAAGCTGTAAATCAGTTGATTGGAAACGGTGAAGCGTTTTTGGAAACTCTTTCAAGTTTTCTTGAGCTAAGTCCTTATAAACCAGCAGGCACTTTTGTCTTCTCTACAGAGAAAAGATTGGTTGCAGTGAGCAACTCAGACGCCATTCTTCAAATGTTGTCTTACACTTGTCAGTCCAAGGACGACCAAGAATTGTCTCTAATTCCATTTCAAAGCATTAGAGATCACCATGGCTATGAACAACTGGTACAATCAATTGGGAATAAGTTGTTTAATCATTTGAACATCCATAACTTGTCTTTGGATGACGAAAACTCGCTCAACGACCTTGGAGTGGTAAATCTTTCTCTATTTTCAAGTTGTGCAACTCCATAGCTCCATCCTTGCTTGCTTTTGTAATCATACCATTCATTGTTTCCTTTTTGGCAGAGCACAAGAGGAAGACAATGCGTTCGTGCTGCACTAGAGGCTGAGAAGCAACGGGTAGAAAATCAGAAGAAGATAGAAGCCAAAAGAGGTAAAATAGAAGAGAAACTAACTTGGATAGAGAAGGAATACAAGCCAAAGTGTCAAGCTCATAAAAACGGGTATTACGATTCCTTCAAAGTTTCAAATGAAGAGAATGACTTCAAAGCAAACGTCAAGAGAGCTGAGTTAGCTGGTATCTTTGACGAGGTGCTTGGTTTGGTGAAGAAAGGCCAACTTCCAGATGGATTCGAGGCAAGCAAAAACTGGGTCGATTTAGCAACTAGCTACCGCAGATTAATTGAACCTCTTGATATTTCAAACTACCATCGCCATTTAAAGAACGAAGACACAGGGCCGTACATGTTAAGAGGACGACCAAACCGCTACATATATGCCCAAAGAGGACATGAACATCAAATTTTCAAGCCATACGGAATGGTTGGAAAAGATGTGTTTTGGAGCAAGGTAAATGATTTTAACTTAGGGTCACTACCACAAATGCAAGAGATTCTAAAGATATCAGGGTCCGAGTGTGGATCATGTTTTTGGGCCGAGGTCGAAGAACTCAAGGGAAAGCCATATGAGGAAGTTGAGGTAAGAGTCAAGACATTAGAAGGGCTGCTTGATGGATGGATCCAACACGAGGAAGTAGATAAAAAAGAAATATTTCTAGAGGGTTCAACATTTAGAAAATGGTGGAATACACTTCCCGACAATCACAAATTATTTTCTCCGCTGCGAGAGCTTATGATGTAAACAAGACCTACCTGAACCTTAAGTGGTCGGTCAATTAGTTGAGCCATTGGAACACTTGCTTCTTAATTTGTGCAATAAGAAATGTAATAGCTCTCTATTATATTGTTTGTCAATCTGATTTCCACTTCATGATGATCTTAGAATACGGAATATTTTCTATGATCATTGTGACGTAATGTAATATAGCTCTCTATTTTATATCAAATTTGGTTTCCACTTTACAATGATATTAGACATGAACCAGCAACAACAGCCTTCCCTAGCGTTGACAGAAGGAATTTCACAGTGAAAGAGGACCAGAATGTCATTAGAATGGAGACTGAGGTTACTCAAATTGTTTGAAACATTGCTAACCTCCAAACCTCTTAGACAATTGACTGTGCAAACGATAAAAACACAAGAGGTAATTTGAAATTGCCCTGTGGCCCTCTGTATTGCTAATTAGCTCATATCAAAGTTTGGCTCAAGTATGTTTTTCACAAGTAATCACATTACCAAGAAGTTCCTTTAAGATTTGCGTTCCACCAGAGTGTCCTGCATCGGTATAATCAACTCAACGATGCCTACCAAAGCTAGGTAGGAAGTAGATTGATCGTTCAACAGAATCAGACCATACAAATAATCTCCAACTCTTTCGCCAGATGTCAATTTTATATAAAACCAAACTTGATAATCTGCTGTATTCAGTCGCTCAACAAAGAATCGAGTAGAAAGATATAATAGTTGTGGTCCACCTTAAAATAACAAAAGGTATAAATGATACCTTTAGAATATTACAGATAAGCAAGGTTCTCGGAGGCAATAAGAAAGAGACTTATTGCAACTTTATGTATTTGAAATTCGTGTACCCCCTTATGTACTCACACACCACTCTACATAACCACCACCACCACATGTTTCAGACGAAGAAGAGTCATTGACATAGAAGAACATAGAACATCGTTCTCAGTTGCCAAAAGACAAATCCTATACCCATATCTAAAGAGTTTTCAAGACAGGTTAAAAACGTAGAACATGCGAGGAAAATAAGAAGAAGAGAGAAAACAAACAGACACATGCCGAGAAAAGCCACATCCTTTCTTCATGACCTGCAAAACATGCTGGACGAACGAGCAAGCCGAATAGTCAGACCACCACCTTGTACATTAGCCTCAACCTTGACAGTGTTCCTTTCATATGGCTTTCTGCAACCAGGACAACGCCCATCTCCATCGCAGATCGTCTTGTGGCAGAAAAGGCAAAGCCGGAATCCACAAGGACATGGTAAAAAATTAGAATCTGTTAAGTCCAGATCTTCGTAGCAAATGGGGCATGAAGATGGCACTTTCACAGAACTAAAATGCAAATTCATGACCGGAAAACTACACTGCTTTTCCAGATTAGGTAGACCCTGAGGGCGGAGCTTATCGTCTGGCCTCCAAGCCTGGTTACTCTTTTGCTTCCTTGACATTGTTCTCTGGCAATCCGGTTTTGCATCCCTTACAGCCACATCAGAACCACTGATTAAATCCGTAGGAGAAGCTGATTGCTTGATATTCTCACGCTCTTGGCAGGACTCAGGAGGATTCTCTTTCTCATGCTTTTCATCATCAGCAGCTAAAGCGTCAGCAATAGCCTCCCAATCATCCAAACACCCATCATCATCAGCATCCTCCTCCTCTGTTATATTACCAGAGCAGGAGCCACCACTTCCACTGCTACTGCTGCTGCTAAAATTAGGAATCGAATTCATGCCACTCAGAATGCTGTTAGGGCTATTAGAAAGTGACTCAATAAAGCTCTCATGACGATCTGTTCCTCCACTGTTATTCTCTTCTTCTCTACCCTGCCCATCAAAATTCTCCACCGGACGATCTCTCTGATCAGGCTTCTCACTCCCAGTTCTCCGATTGGATTCCATTTCCTCCTTATCCCCTTTATGAATCATCGCAACTAATAACACAAACGCCCAAATCAATACACAACAAATTCCAAGAACCTAAATACAGATCTTTTCAATAACGGAAATTACCTTGAGAAAGCCATTGCTCACGACGAAGACCTAGCTTGCTCTGTTTCAATTTGGCCGACCTGTTCGTCTGCAACCCCAATGCAAACCCACACCAGAAAAAAACCAAAAGATTCAACATTTAAAGATAGAAATGAGATTTGAAGAAAGACTCAAAGAGATTTACATGAGAAAAGAAAAAAAAGACATACCCTTTTCTTTTTTCCGAAATCCCTCGCGCTTGGAGCTGCAGTAGCTGAAGCGTTGGTGATCGAATCAGAAATCATGATGCTCACTGATGATTCCGAACCACAAAAAAAAAAAAATCAAAAACAACAAGAATCACGAAATCACAAATGAAGATTTCTCAAAAACCCTAAATTCAGATTTGTCGCGAAGAAGAAGAAGAGAAGAAACGTGCGAGTTTTTTATTTCTTTGTTTGTTGAGAGTCTGTGAGAGAAAGAAAGAAAGAGAAAGAGAGAGAGATAAAATATAAGGGGATAACGGAAACTCCTCTTCTCCGCTCAGAACTTTCCTCGTGACTAAAGTACCCTTCGTTTTGACTTTTGTACACGCTTTAACGCAGGGATCGTTCTGTAATTGTGCTCGTTACACACGTGTGAGTTGCTTCTGTTCATTAAAACGGTGGCGTACGGTGGACTACATGTGAGGAAAGTTCATATGATTCACACAAAATATCAGACAAGAGCTTCTAGATCATTCAGATAGGTTTCTTCTGGTTACAAAACTTACAATTCTACAGAAAACAAAAACAAAAAAAAATTAATTAGAAAAATTTCTAACAAAACCAACACCACAAAGTCAAAATGGATTGTGCATTTTTTTTTAAAACTTTTCTAGATGAATCGAACGAACATATTTTTCCTAATTTTGTTGACGTGAAGCACCAACTGCAAAAATAACATCAAAAACACGAAATTAACCATGCAAAAAAAAAATAGTTGATTAAATCTGATTTTAGGAGCTAGGAAACTGAAGATGAGAGTTAAACTCCGTTTAAGTGAGTCTGAATAAATTAAATAGTGTTTTGGACATTATTACGTATCTTGTAAAACGAATACTACTATATAGTAAGGAAGCTCATCAAGCAAATTTTCAAAATAAATGATTTTTTAACAAAAACATTATGATAAACACACTAAGCAAGATTTTTTTTTTATATATAGTACCAAGAATCTAAAAGGGTATAGAATTATACATCTAATGTTATCAATCGAAAAGGCGCATGATGAATAACGATCGATCTGCGAAAACAACATGTAACTTAATTATAATGGTGGATGTTATGTAAATTGTAGTGTTGAATTAACAAATTATAATCACACTTCAGACTATAGAGCTAGATAACTTAAACTGATGAACCATTGAAGAGAGGGTATAAGCTAGTGTCTAAGATTTACTTATGACACAAGGATATGGATTTAATCCTTCAAGCCAATGTAACAACAATTCCAAATACACGAAGACGGGTTATCAACATGAAAAGCTGAAATATGTGGAATGTTTTTTTTTTTTTTTTTTAATTCCAATTTTTTTCCAAAAACAGAACTAAGATCTTTATGACTTTACAATGTAACAACACTGTTCAAAGTGAAATCATTAAAACTAGGTTTTAACCCGCGGTACACCGCGGGACGATTGTTTTGACTAAAAATATATATATATATATATATATATTTAAGTTGTATTTGTTAATTTTATTACCTTTTTAGTGTTTAGATTGTGTAATTACATTTTTGATTGTTATTTTTATTACTTAACTCGCGGGATATTTTAATGTAACTCGCGGGACTTAAAAAATTATGTTTAAGTTATATTTTTTATTTTTTTTTATTTTGTTAACCCGTAAGATAACCCGTAAGAAAAACATAAAACTTAAACCCGTTAAATCATATTTATGTAAAATATAAACCTTGAATGTTTTACAGATTTCGAGAGAGATTTTGGTTTTTATTTTCCAAAACTTTATTTTTAACCAATCAAGATTTTAAAATTTTGGATTCCCTAAAATTTAGTAAAACTTTTTTGGTTGTAATCTTCCATTCAATATTTTGGAATTTTAAGTTTCATATTAGTCATATTTATAATGGTTCTGAATCATTGTCTAAAATTTTATACCCGATGTGGGACGTTATACATATATTTTTTTTTCTTTTATCGATTGAGTAATATACGTCCGTTTTCAAAAATTCAAATTGCTACGTATGCGAAATTTTTTTTTGTATTTTTATTATACTTATGTTTTATGTAATAATGGAAATTTTAAAACAAATAAGATCATTTAAAGATATTGGAGAGATATTCAATTTATTAGGGAGACATTTTAAGAAATTTTGTTAAATGTAATAAATATTAGTTTCTAATTTTGCGATTATGATGTAATTTAATTACAAATTTTATCTTAAAAATTTGTTATTTATTTAAATGACAATGATTTACTATGCAAATAATACAAAATAAAAAGTTATTTTCCAAGTATTTCAAAAATGTTATAATAAATAAAAAAATTAAAAGAATAAATCTCGAAATAAACAAAACCAACACAAAATGAAATGGTTCAAGGGTTCAAAAGAAAAGGCGAAAGTTTGTGCAGAATCTGACTCAACAGTGCAAACAAACAAATACCAACAGAATAAATATTTGGGGAACCTACCTGAAAAAGAGAGCAAGACATATAAATCAGTGAAAAAAGACTTTTATTATGATTGAGTAGAGATAAAACAGAGTTGTCTTATATCACATAGTACCAAACCATGATCAGATTAACCAAACTCGGTTGGGGTTAAAAACATAACACATGCTTATAGATTCATATTCCATGCTTACAACTCATATAAAATGAGTAATGTGCAATGTTAGAAAGTATATGGTTCGTTTTCAAAATCTACCTAACGGTTGGGATAACTCAAAATGTACATATAGAGCGACATGCATAATCTTGACTGTGACACTTTTAAAGCAATGATATAGAGCAGATAAAGGTTGGTGTCCCCGGTAAAGTTGTTATTGAGATTTTGTGTTTTGTTTGTCTAATGAATATGATGTTTAAACGATAATTAAGGGGGGGGGGAATTATCAAATATATGTATTCCATTTGTTGGTCTAAACTCTAAAGATATCAAATCACACAGACAAAACTAGTCTTAGGATGTTTGGGATGGTTTGTGTGGATTAGTGTACTCAAGAAATCATGAAT